CCTTAATTAATGTGGACAATACTCAATGAGACTTTGTTTATTCAATTCGCTTCGAAAATTAATAATAACGCTAAACGTGGAGAGTTGCCTTCTCCATCATTTCCGTTTATTATAAACCAGTTGCTGCATCAAGTACAGTCCCAAAGTTTCGACTTAGCTTGCGTCAAAACACGGGCTTTGATCATCAAACAAAAACCGGAACTTCAACCAGCCTCTGGCAACTGCACCAAATGAACCGCCTCAATTTCATCAGTTTTTTTTCCTCTAAGGTCGAACTTTAAGTGATGCTGTAAATGCGAAATTTGACATTGGTGGTTTCAGAGGTAGTAATGCGGTTGTTGATCGCATTTTGTTCAGTTACTAGAAGACACAAGGAGGGCAACTCCGCACTGGATTTGGCAATGCAAATCAAATGCAAACCAATTTCTCCTCCACTAGATTAGTGAGACAAAAGCCATACAAATTCACCGTTCTACTATCATATTTGCGTCGGAAAAATTGCCAACCAGCAATTAGTGAAGTGCGTAAAGGAATAACCAATCAGTAAATTTTATACTCTGCAAATGGCTAATTTTTTGAAACAATTTTTTAAAAGCATTATGAAGAGCTGTTTTAGAAAATGTTTTAAATGACCACGTGAGTCTGTGCTGAATGAGAGCACTGGTTGTAGCCATTTGTGTTTCATGCCTGACGTCTTCTTGTTGCAATTCCTGCCTTTCAGCAAAGATGTGCGTCTACCAGTTCAGCTTCAACGCGCTATGGCTGCTGAAGCCGAAGCTGCAAGAGAAGCCCGCGCTAAGGTAGGGCATTACTTTGACTCTCCTTTGCAGAATCTGCCCAATCCACTGCACAAAGTGTTCATAACAATTGGCAACACCATCAACGACATCAAAAACGTGATAATTGCATGCATTACAACAATTAAGATAAGGATAAGAATCGCAAACATCTTTTTGGCCAATAATTGCTTGGCGTCACGAATTTATCCTCCCAACCGTTCTCACCGCCTTATCCGCCTATTGCAAAGTCAGCGGAAAGGACAATTAAGGTTCGAATGTGCTGTGCGTGCAGAAAATTTCCTCCTCATTCAGCTAAGAGTTTACTTCTTTTTTGGCGTCCCTTTTGCTAAGTCGAAAAGCTTGCGGACAATCAGCATAGACCGGTGCCAACGGACGCAACCCTCCTCCATCCCTAGTCAGGTCATTCCCTTTGCGCATAATTAAATTCGGAAGGCGCAACAGAAAAGCGAAAGACAGGAAAACTCACCACTTGATTCTTTCAAAAGTTGGTTAGGGAGATGGGTTTGCGTTGCTGAAAGCAATAATGAGCCCGCGCCTGCCTCAATCTGATCTGCATGCTTTCCACCACTACGATGTAGAAACTAGTGGTATTTAAATGTGCGCAGTTAATTTTAAACAGAATTGAACTAACCAACCTATTTGTTTGTTGATTAAAAAAACACCAATTTAATCCGTCGTAAGAAATTTTTCTTCAGTGCTGTCGGCAAGGTGGCATTTATGATGAAGATTCGTGGCACCAAAAGACGTCAAAAGGTGTGATAAATTTCACTTGACAGAAAGAGTTAGTATGGATAGAATTAATTCTTTTGGTTAACAAAGCCAATTTGACGGTTCAGACGATAATCACATATACACAAAACTTGTTTTAATCGGAAAGAGAGTTAATTGTCTCTTTCGAATGGAGAGGGACTCCAAGCCACATGTGTGCTTGCATTCCTTTAACTTCGCTGTCGACCAACACTGTATAAACATTTCAAATAGCAAATACATGAACGAGTAAGGTGTTGGAAGGTCCCTTCCACTGCTGCCCCTCCTCCTTTCACCACTCCACAGAAGACATCTTCCCTTATTCCTGACTTTACTTCTGATGGTTGCGTCAAAAGGTGGGCATTCTTCGCAATGAAACTGCAATTTTTTGAATAACAAAAAGATACTTTATAAAATGGCCTTCCGGTGAATCCTGCAGCAATAAGCTATAAGTTGAAGAGGAAATAGTTTTGCATCAGATAAAATCGCCAGGTGCTAAATGCACACATTGAGGGCCGTTGGGAGTTTCCCACTAATTTAATTCTGCCAGTATTTTGTAAGATGGTCAGCAAATTCTCCAGACAAAGATGTGTGTTTCATTGTGCCACTTTATTTGCCCAAATTTACTTTTAAAGAGGCGCAAAAGTGTAGTTGATTTCCTCGTATGCCAACTGATGACATTGCTGGACATCTGCCAGCTCAAATGATGGGGACTGCTTCAATCAGCACTCCCTTGGGAGGCTAAAACAAAATGTTTTTATGTCTGCTATTTGTAAGGGCACATTAATTGGATCCTCACCACCCAGCATTATCAGATTTCATTTAGGTATTTTGGTATTTGGATTCGTTCTAAGGGCAGTCCCAATTCTAACGAGGTTGTAAGTTTAGCAGTAACTTTGAGTTGCTCAGATCAGGAGGTTGGTTCATTTCAGGCTTGATGTAATTTCCCTTTATTACTTTTCCTGGTTAGAATCTCAATTCCATTAGAGCTGGTGCTAGCAAATCTCTGCGAGGCTTAATTCGTGGTACGACATTTTCTGTTAAAGCACTTTCGGGTGGAATTAATCACGAGTCATAATTGAGTACGACAGAAAATTGAGAACCAGCATTTGCAATAACTTCACTAACAAATGCACCAAGACTGAATGCAACTGCTTCAGCAGTTAAACAATTTATCCAAACATTTTAGGTTATTGCAGCCAGAGGTGAGCAAAAGGCCTCACAGGCCCTGAAGGAAGCAGCAGACGTAATAAATGAGTCGCCATTCGCCATTCAATTGCGCTATCTGCAGACGCTCAGTACAATTTCGGCAGAGAAGAATTCTACTATCATCTTCCCGCTGCCAGTTGACCTTGTGACGCACTTTATGCAGGGCAAGCCCTCCTCTTCCTCCCTCTCCGCCATCCCTCCCTCTGCGGCTTTTACTCTTGGTGGCGGTGGTGGCGGTGGTGGAGGTGACTCCTCGGACAGCAATCACGCCGCCGCCTCTGCTGGCGGTCATCAAGGCTTCGGTGTTCCTCCACCGGCTCGTCGACGTCAGATCGTTGGTGCTGTAACCACTTCACCGACAGCAGCCAATGAAGCGTTTGCTGTGTAATGGTACACTCTTCCCGTCCCTTTCTGTACTCCTTTTTACATCTACCTACACCTATTTACTATAATGGAGTGCTCTCAAGATCGTTTTTATTCAAGAGCGGTCTTCCCTCCCTAGCTGTCCTTTTCCTATTCATCCTTAAGCTCATACCCACTCAAATTATAGATTTATATATGTATATGTACGTATCGATACACTGCGCAAATGATGAACTCATCCATGGCCGTTTATCTGTATTCATTGTGTCTGTGTACTTGTTTTTGATTGTATTTAGGTGTGTACAAGATCGTCTAGAAATTAGCTGTGTGTCACACCACATGTACTGTAACATAAATGCATAATTAAACTACCACCCCATCAATGCGACTCTGCTCATTTGTGTAAGGCGAATGGTTGTGCCATGCTTCTCTCTGTGGAGTTACGCATCTTTGGATGATCTCTTGAAACATTTATGCGCACGCCTCAGTTTTAACAGAACAAGTGGAAGCTCTAACACATGCAGGACGCTGCCTTTTACCCAGCATGGACTGAATTTCGTAATGGCAACCATCGATAAATGATTGTGATGCATTCACAATTCCAAGAGACTAGTTGAAGATTCGTTTTCTGACTCGAGGACAATGAAATTGATGGTGGATTAGGAACGACTGGGTTACAAATGGGGTCTTCTCTTTCAGGAAATATGATATCGTTTAACCTAAATTTCTCATCTCAAGCAAATGACCCGTCGATATAATTTGTACCTCGATTCACAAGAATACCCCATCGTCCCACATTCCTGCTTGCTATCCTAAATGGCCATTCGTCTAATACCTTACGATGTACGCACTGGCCACCTCGGGCGGGTCACACTCGCCATTTAATGCCTTGCTGTGGTTCCTTCACAAGGGAATGCTTTTTATATCCATGAGGTTAAAGGTCCCAACTTGGCTGGTAATGTTCTTCTCTACATAACACTTCTGAGGGTCAATCAGAAGTTGGACGTGTATTGCAGTAAGGCCACAAGTGTCGACCTGCTAGATACGGTGTGTCCCTAATCTCTCAACGTGCTGTCTGACTACGAGAGAGCTCTGCATGGAATTTAGCAAGAAAATAGCAGAAAATAAATAGCCATTTCCTTTTATAAATCAATAAGATCTTGTACTGTTTAAAAAGGATAAATCATTTATGAAGGAGGAAATTGTCGGATTATATTGGTAATATTAATGTCCAACAGAGCAGTCGGGGCGAGAATTTATAGGCCAAATAAATGTCAGAGTCTCGCACCAGCTTCCCTTAAAATGATAGATTTCCGTGAGCAACACTTATGCAGTAGTCAGAAAAGAAGTGTGTCAAGTCGGGGAAGATATGGTGTGAAAGTTTTTCTCCTTATAGAGGCAAATTGTTTCATTCAACACAGGAAATTAGCATTATCCTCCCTTGACAAATGCGAAATACTTATTGCAAACAAAAGAACACAATTACTAAAGACGTGGTAAAGTGATCATTGCAATGGAGGCAGATTTAAAAGTAATTAAGTGTTCGCAGATGTAATAGGTTGAATGTTGACTTGACTGACCTCTTGGGGGCTTCGCCTTGGCATCTTCAGCAGACAATCGGACCTCAACACCATCGACAGCTCATATTCCGCTTCAGTACTCCGTCCTCTCGCCTATCAGTGGGAGAAGGGTGCTGATGTACGAAAGGTGGGAGCTCACTCATATAACAGCCGAGACCTTGCAGATAACGAAAAAAGCCTACACTTTGCATGGTAGTTTGTGCATTCTGCTCTATGAAAAAATGTCCAACATCGTTTTTTTCACCCTAGGGTGCATTCTCCTGCCTGATACGTTAGCTGCATGCAATGACTGGGAGGCTACACTGCTTCTGTCCACGCAATTTAGATGAACTACAAAAGTACTTTTGTCCAGCAATTTGTCTCACATTATAATTCGTTAGTTAGTAACAGTTGGAGTCTTTGTAATTACTCTTAATAGAAGTCCATCTTTAACCAACAACTCTGTGTCTAGACCTGTACGTCACACAGTCAATCATTTGCAAACAAATTTTAATTACCAAACGGCTTCCTTCGTTAACACTTTCGCCACTTAGGCAAAGGTGTCAAATTATTTCCAGCATGAGCTTATCCTTACATTACCAAAAGTCACTTTGTTTGTGATGGCTTGCGGGGACAAGGACAGGTCATTCCATGTATTCCATAACAAATATACCTTAAGGTGAAGCAACATCTTTCTTGGCAAAACTTGAACATACCATTTGTCGCGTAGTTTCCTAATCATTTGGAAGGTAAAGCAAACTGCGTTTTGCGATTTCCATGACCAAGACCAAAGACATCAAATGATTTTCAAATTGCACTAAAGCCTTCTAACTTCATTACACGATATGCTAACTGCTTATCTGAGCTTTGTGTGTCAGCAGAGACCTAAACAAGCGGAGTGATGGCTCAGTTAATAAAGAGAGTTAAGAGCTACCTTGCCACAACGGAAAATAAAAGCTCAAAGGTCCACTTAAACGAGAAATTCCTTTAAGGCCAGCATCTTGGTGATCTTTCATTAAGTGACAAAAGATGACTAAACTTCGGATAGACCGATTTTGTGTAACTCAGGAATTGTTGTCATCTCAATATGAATTGTCAAAGAGGAGGAAAATGGGAGGAAGAAGGAAGAGAGATAAAAAGACTGAGGTAGTCTGGTCTAGAGGAAACCCGAGTATCTCCAACATCATTGTCACCTTTACTTAATCCACGAAAAGCTGTTATGGGTAGTCGTTGCAAGCTGTTCGAAGTTCTGCCTTTCCTGTCATGTCCTGTTTTGTTTACTGCTTCCAATTCTTGGCGGACAAGCCCTAGAGCTGATAACAAACGCCACAAAATTTTTCTTCCTTTTAAGCTGGAGCAACTTTTTTGACTGCCTTTGGGGTATCTTACAGTCCGCCTCTTGTGCTCTCACTAGTGATCTCCTCTCCCTATTTCAAAGTCATGACAGTCTGTTGAATTACTAATTCCTGCATCTAAATTAATAGCGAAATGACCGCCTTAAACATGTTTTTGGTCAGTAAAGTAGTCAGGTACTTCTCACTAGTTTTCATAAACAGGTAAAAACGAAGAAAAGTAACTTCGAGAGTGAACAACATTTAACTCTCTCCTTACAATAAAATAAAAATTCCATCCCACATTTTGCATTGTCTTTAGCAATCTTTAATGTCCGATGCTGTCTGATCACGCACCGTGAACGAAGTTGGAGACTCTTCTCCTGTGGCTGTGGCAGTGACCACGTTTACACTTGTGTTAGTGCAGTTTTACAATTGTCGTTTGAAAAAGGGCACTGAGATTCTCGCTACAGGGTGGAATGTAGGCCACAAGCCCGCTAATGCTCGAGGGTTGGATGGAGGGAAAGTGGCCTCTTGGGAACGGAGGTTAGTATTCTTAAAGTGAAGAGTGTAACGATTGGGCGGAGTTACGACACTTTCTTTTGGGGCTTCTTTGTTGCGAACTCAAATGCAATCTCTTTTGCCACTCATGACAGAACAGAATCTTAACGTTTCAATAAAATTAGTGGAAAAAATTGAATTGTGATTTTGGTGCATTAGATGTGTTCTATCAAAAATTATCACTGGGGAATAGAGGCGTTGCTCATATCAAGAAAGGATACAAAGGAGTCCTACCCATTCAATTTTGAAGTAGATCCTTGCATCGGAACTCGTGGTCTAGCAAGGACAAATCAAGGGGTAGGAATAACCAACTGATCCCGCATGGTACATTCCATTACATCAATTTTATCTTTACCTATATTTTTCCAGAATTGACAATAAACTTGATACTCCTAACAGAAAACGCCTTTCCCTGTTTTTATTTGTTTAATTTGGGCCTATAAGTGCCTAGTAAAGTTTTGGGTAAGAGTTAAAGGTAATAAAAAGAGGGACTAAGCACTTCAAAGACTCAACGGTTTAATCTTTGGAAAGTATAAAATGTATGCAACGCCTGAGGCTTGTCAGAAGACATCGAACCCAAGACGCTGGAAAGGTTTGTGCATGATTGTGGTGAAGAAGACCTGAAGAATGCGGCATTGGTACCGGACCGCCAAGTGGGTGAGTAAATAGTGGCGACTGAAGTATTTGCCACTTTAGACCGAAATGTTGAAAAAATATCAGAAGTGCTTCAGTCGTTTCCCTCTTTTTAACGCTCTTATCTGCAGTCCTCATGTTCAGCCTCCCTCATCGGCCATCACACCGTAGCCGCCACTAAAAAGAAATACTTGGGAACCAACGGCGCAGGCAATCGTACAGTCATGAAGCAAAGAAAATGGACGACCACAACATCACACTTCCCTCGTGGCAATCCTGCCGGATATGGAGTTGTGTCCTGTTTAAAGAGCTGTTTTAGGGAAGAAGGAGTGTACAGTCGATAGCGCAGCAACGCGTATTAGTCCCAAGGTTACATCCGTAAAGACCGAATCAGATATTAGGGGACGAGATATGACATGATTTCCTAGGAATGGGGTTTAGTGTCCGATTTTCTTTAACACTTCATTGCCTTCCAATTACATTCCCATTCAGGCTTTGCCCAGTTGGCGAGGAGGCAACGACATCTCATCGTCACTAAGACGACACTCATACAGGCACTGCAAGCAGCTAAGTAACAGTCGTTTTCAAATGGCACACTACTACTATTAGTATCGTTTTAGTGGTTAGCGGCTTCCCTGATGAATTTGGGACTGATATCATTACGAGATCTCCCATTCGCAACTTGTGCACCTCTTTCATCAAATTAGAATATCATATGTTGGAATAGAAAACATGCTAGAAGTTCTTTGGTGTCTCACCGACAAGTTAGCCTCCAAGCCTTAGGCAAAGGCAAAAGAAGGCACAACATTAGGCTGAGGTACGTATTGCCGATACAAAGTAGGGTTGGATCGAGAAACTGGAATGGTACGTAAGCTAAGCTGCTCAGCAGAAAAGACAAAGCAGGGCCTAGAGTGCTTGCAACTTTGGTATTAAGAAACAAA